ACATCTAAAACATGCAGGACTGTGGCCCTCGAGGACCAGGATTGCCCACCCCTGCTCTAGATGATGGCAAAAAACCGCCGTCGTTACTGCACAGCAACATACTGGTTGTGATGTGAACCATGCCTCAATCCCAACAAGTTTCACAGGACTCCAGATAAAGCATTTAAAGAGATGCACGAAGCTGGAAAAAGGCTCCAAAAGCATTTGTGAAGTCACGGGTGTACAGCAATTCACAAAAAAGACAACATGTCTGCAAATGGAGGCAATTAAGGACTGTCGCTACTCTTACTAGTAGCGGGCCTTCTGAAAAGATCACACTGAGGGCGCTGAGTGCAATCCTGAAAGAGGTGAAAACGAACCTGATGGTAACAACAAAACACCTGCAGAAATCTGTCCAGCGAGCTTTAATCTGTTAATGCGTCTATTATGAGGAAAACACTGAATAAGAGTGATTTTAGTAGAAGACAGTACAAAAAACACAATGTTCCCAAACAACAAAAAAACATCGTGGTGCTTCTCTACACGATGTTCTGTGGGCAGATGAGACAAAAGTTTAACTTTATGTCAACAGCACTAAAACCTGAGCCCATTTGTAAAACATGATGGAGGGCACCATCATGGTTCAAAGCTGCTTTTCAAAATCAAGGCCTCGACGCCTTGCAGTCACTGAGGGAACAATGTTAGAGGTGAGTGTCGGGGCAGCGGTCCACGACCTGAGGTTTAAGAAAGGCCGGCCGACGCAACACGACAATTATCCAAAGCACACAAGTAAACCAACAAAGGGACGGTTGAAATGTAGAAAATTCCCTGTTTTGCTAAATCAGAGTCCTGACCTTAATCCGATTGAGATGCCGTGGCATGACTCAGAGAAGGCCGTCCACCCAAGACATCTCAGAAATATCGATGAGCTAAAACAGATTGTCCACATTTCCTCCTCGACTTTAATAAAAAGCAGCTAAAAATGTCTGATGAATGTTGCTCCTAATCTCGAGTTACTAAATTCACTTCCCTTCTTCCAGCCTGCACTGTGTGTAATTATTCATTGTGTTCCATAAACACATGACACATGAGTACAACTGCTGGTGTGTCATTAGTCTTTTGTTTGTTACTGATTTTTTTTTTTAATCAATTCAGAAAGATCCACAAACTTTTCTTGCAGAGCCAGTGAATGAAAACGTACTCCGAAATGAACTTTGATCTCTCAGTACAAACAAGACATTTGGGGAGTCAGCTCGTTTTTATAGGCTGTGTTTGTTCTGTTTCTGTTTTGTTGCACCTCATCAGTCGAAAGACGGCGAAGAGACAAGATCAACAACTGGATAGTGACGCTTTCCAAGATCATCCCAGACTGCAGTATGGACAGCACCAAGACCGGAGCAGTAAGCGGTCTTCCACTTCACTCATTCCCGATTCAAACGACATTCCTGTTTTGAATGCTCACCCTTCGAATGTGTGACTTTGTCTTTCTAGAGCAAAGGAGGCATCCTGTCCAAAGCTTGCGACTACATCCGTGAGCTGAGGCAAAGCAACCAGCGACTGCAAGAGAGTCTGAAGGAAGTGGAGAGGATACAAGTGGACAACGAGCTGTGCAGGCAGCAGGTATGAATATCAGCCTTTGCTTCGGCCTGCAAATGAAGCATCAAGCGAAGTTTCCGTGACTTCAATAATGGGCAAAGAAGGTCTATGAATGATAATTCAGAGTCTCCCTTTGAGGTTGTTGGGTGTAGCAAATAAATAAACTTGCACATAATAAGGCAGTCATAGTGGGCTGCATATGTGGCTGTGAAGATTGCCACTGCGTTGAATAGATTAGTTTGCTTTATAGTACACGGCAACATTTTTTTTTCACTTAGGTCTCAGCAGCATGAAATCCACCTACCCCCATATGCATCTTCATTTCTCCAAAACAAACCCCCGGAGACTGGAGGCTGCATAGTTGATCATCGCAGCCTGACAAAGAGGATCAAAGAGTTTGCACTCATATAATGAGAAGTGATACCTGAAATCAGCGCTTTGAGAGACTGTGGGAATAATATACACAGGGGTTGTGTGAGAACTAAGTGCATGCTAATGCACTCAAAGTATTGTGAAATCTTGCAGCTGTGTGGCTGCCATGTCTCCCCCTTGAATCCCGGGCCTGCAAGGCACTTGGCAATATATTCTTATTCTGATGCTCAAAGCTCAATATCCTTCTCTCAGTCCCTCAGTGGGGAGGCAGTGGATTCAAGATTCACCCAAGGGAAATGTAGCAGAGATGACATACCTCATGATTTGATAATCCAGTTGGTTGTGGACAGGGCTGTCTTTGAAAAGGGCTGCACACACAACTCTTTAATCCCGGGGATTTGATATCCCCGCATATGCATTACAGACAGCTGGCACTCCCACACGTCAAACCGAGAAGTTTGGTTTGTAAACTTTGAGTTATATTTAGCCTTCACAGGGATGAAGATGTTGATGATAAGATTTTCTTTTGTTGCTGTTGTTGTTCTTAAGATTGAAGAACTGAAGAACGAGAACGCGTTGCTCCGAGCGCAACTCCAGCAGCACGGCATCGAGATGGTCGGAGAGACGCCACCGCAGTGAAGGAGATGAAAAGAACAGGGAGGAGCACCGCCACTCAGACACGTAACTGACACGGTGGAAAACACGGCAGGATGATTTAAAAAAACAAAAAAAACAACAACAAAAAAACAAAAAAGGACTTGTGGAGAATCACTTTCTTTTTAGTGAATGCATCCTTCCCTGGGTTTCCAGGTCGCAAACCCTTCACTAGCCAATGTGGCTGCACTTGACTGTTACAATCCTATTGAGATAACCGCCCGTTGCTACTCAGTAGAAATGTGCTCCAAGAGAAGATGTCCACTCACCTCCATCAGAGTGCTTCACGAGCACTAGCTATGAAAAAGACCCTCTGCTGAACTCCTCCCTTGTTTTGTATTTATGTAGCCTCTCTGATGGACTGTGATATTAATTTTTGTTCCCTGTCAGTGTACTTCCCTCCCCCCCCCACTTCAAATATTAATTTTGACTTAGTTCATGCTTGTATTCTGTTTGTGTTTTTTTTTTTTTGAGTTCTGTATTAATATGTTGTTTTTAGCTCCTTTTAATTTATTAGTCCGCTTGCTGACAGAAGCCTTGATGGAGACCAGTTAGCTCAGTAACCCATGCACCCCCAGAGGAGTGAATTTTTTAAGTGAGGAAACATCAAAGTATGCAAAACATGGTTTCACAGACAGAAATAATGTGTCATACATAGCTTACCTAGACCCAAAGACAAACCCAAGAGCCGTGGAGGTCAACGCTTCAGGGCTGATTCATGTAAATAAGACTTGTCATGTTTTCATACAGATGTTACAGAATGATCATCTCTGGGAGTCAACACTCAATAACTCATTCTGGCCATTTGTCATCATTATTTCCATGAAGTGTGTGCAATCTTGAAGCTTGATTTTGGGGGGTTAAAAAAAAGTGGTTTACTTGAATTGTTGGGCATTTGCTTAACCAGAAAAATGAACCATAAAACGTGTAAAGATCCTCCAACGGTATTTGATTAGAAACTGAAATGTGAGCGAGCGGGAACATGCAGAACTTGACAAACTCGTCACTTTTGACCGTAGTTGAAAAATCCCAACTTTTACCAAAATTATATTTAGGTACTGTGGGTTTTTTTTTTTTTTTGTTTTATTTTCATCTTTTGTTAGCGTGTGATTTGCGGGTGTCTCGATACGTGTACGAATTATCCCCCACATGTTTCATTTCAAGCTGTTTGCTCTATTTCGGTATTGCAGCGCTTCAAATGGAGCTCAATGCACAAGGGGGGGGAGGGAGGCACCCTGGAGAGCGCCGCTCAGAGACTCTGCTCACTATGGAAAAAGGAAGTACACAGAAATTCTGTGTCGCGCTTCTTCTTAGCCGAGCACAAACTCGCTCTCCATGAAAAGACGGAATAAGTTGGGAAGTCGGGGGGGGAGAAAAAAAACTTGGAAAATGATCTCGGATATTCCTCCGCCCGCTCAGGCACACAATAAGTAAACTGCAATTGGTTATACAAACAAGCAAAAGCTATTATTAACATTGTTGATGATTTTGTGAATGAATATACATGATGTGTTTTTTTTTGTTCCGCTTTGGGCGATGTGAGTGAAAGTGGAAGAGAGATATCAAGCTTCGGCGCCACTTATTAGAGCACAATTGCTTTTTCCCCCCCTGTATCAACAGCTCAGGATCCAGCAAAGCAAAACCAACACTCAGACCCCTGGCAAAATCAGGCAGACGATCACATTTTAATATCTCAGACTCTGTAAGTTAACAGCTTGTGCTTTGGAAGTGCTGTTCTGCTACAACTGCTAGATTCAAACCTGATAGGGATAGTGCAAGTGTCTGATCTATCAAACGAGGCTTCCAGCCAAAGTTGAATGATAGATGTTTTGCAGTAGAATTTTTATTTTTTTTTTTTACACCTCAGTGAGAGGAGAGCAGAGAATGTGAAGACATGAATAATGCTTTGGAAGATGGATGTTCACAAATGAAAGGTCATTCGTGGCTAATTCTTTTTCTTTTTTTTTTTTTTTCTTGCGTTTCTTTTTTGAAATGGCAAAAGGAAGAAAGAAAGAAAGAAAGAAAAAAAAAAAGACTTTTTCTCTGTGTAGCAGCCTCACTGTTCTCAGGTTAGAGACATCTTTTGTAAGTAAAATGGTGGAAAATAAAACTTTCACTAGCTAATACTCCTGGTTGTGGCTCGTTGTTCTTTCCCAGGTCTTGGAGAGATCAAAAAAAATGATGCTTTAGTTGATGGTTTTAAGGTTTGTATGAGTTAATCAATCTGTTAATTATCACTGCATCTAACAATGTGCACGTTTCAGTAAAATTCTGACCCGTGGGCTGATATGTTTGACAAATCATCCACCATGTACTGCTCATCCAGGCTCTTCTCTATAGCCTGAAATATTATCAACTCAAGTCTAGCATGAACTTTACAGGTATCCTCTCCTTGATCTTCTTCTATACAGCGATTCAAACGTTTACATGCTTCTAGACTTCCTGTCGTGCAGATTGTTATTTACATCATCTCTTGTGGTGTTCTCCTCCATCAGTGCTGACTTCATCCCCAAACTCCATCTCCCTGCGCTCGAGAAGTATTCCCTGCTCTCCTTGTCCGATGACGAGGACAAATCCTTCCCCTCCATGACGCCGCTCCTAAAGGCTCTCAGGCCGTTCATCCAAACCCTCAGACGCAGGAACCCCCAGACCCGTCTTCCACTCACTCCATAAAAGCACCTCTTTCCATCCAAGAAGATCTCCCTGTTGAAGAACCGCCTGACGTTGTGGACCTCGGTGCCGACGTCCTCGACTGTATTTGCAGTAATCAAAGTTAAGCTTCCTTTTGTTTTTAGGATTTAGACGCCATCCATCTTCAAACCATCTTCAGATTAAAAAAGTCCTGATAAGCGCTTAGAAATATGACAGAAAGAGGTGCATCCACCTCCTCTGAGTCATCCTGCAGAGTTTCCTCCTATAGCAACATGATAAATAGCCACAAACGGAGGCTCTGAATCTGATTCCCTTGAATTTTTTTTTCATACATTTTACCTTCTCCTGAGCTCTAATAGGCTTTTTCTTTTTTTCTTTTTTTCCTCCACAGCAGACATCTTGAAAGCAAGAAAAGGCTTGCTGACAACAAATGACTGCATTCCCTGAGCCTGCACCAGGGTTCTGGTATGCTGCTCCACCATCCTGGGACATTCAGTGTGACTGAACCATCATTAGCAAAATGTGCTTTAGCTTCGCCTGTGCTGCTGTGGCGAGTCAAAGAGTGAAGAACAAACATGTCTATGATCTCAACAACATTTTTAGATATCAGCATCAGTGATACAGATGTAGATGGAGACACAGAGATGGAAGTTGTTGTTCTGTTGTTCAGATAAATGATTGTGGGCTTTGTGTCCTTGCAGGGACTATGAGTCAACAACACTGGTGAAACCGAAACCAGTTAGTAGTTGGAAGACACAGAGGGCACCTTGGGTAAGAAAGATCAATGGTGGATAAAAGGCGCATCTGAGCCCTCGGTGAGATTGAGTTTGACACCGCAGGTCTGAGCCGTTTAAGCAACATTCTGCCGCTCTTAAAGAGGATGCAGGCGTAATTCTGGTTATCTTTAAACTGCAGACTTGGATGCTGTACGCAACCAAACAGTCGGACTATTTATAACTGAAAGGCTCATTATCTTTCAGTATTCATTAGGCTGACACTATGTGTTAAATTTGCTTTGGTTTTGTGTCGTCGCCCCCTCCAGTGTTTCCAGGCTTGTCAGCTGCCATTTAAACACACACACACAGCGAGCCAGGCAGCCAGGCAGCCAGGCAGGCGTCTGTGTGTCCCTGTTTCTGTTTGAAGTGGATGATCTCTGATCCCACGTACCGCTCTGATTGGGACATACAAACTCTCTGTCTGCCTGTCTGTCTTCCTCTTTCACCTCTCTGAAGAGAACCAGGCAGAAAGGCTGAAATGAAATCAGTTTGGAAAATTAAACGGCATAAAAAAAACGTGTAACCGGCGCGTACCGGGGAACGCCACTTTCACCTCTCAGCGCAGATAATTCACTTGCAATTAATTGATGTATTAATTGGAAAACGTCTCTCCTTTTAGCAGTAAATTGTTATTGCTGAAATTACATTTAATGGATTTGAAACAGGAGTTTGTGTCCGGTCACCGCCGAGCTGTGTCTGCATTCATGCCTGGAGGTTGGGATAAATCTGTACAATCCTTCAGCGGATTGGAAAAGTCCTTTTATAATAATTTTTTTTTTCTGTGTGTGTGTCTGTGTGTGTGTTTACGCACATCTACCAAAGCGCACGGTTGACTGGTTTTCATTGGACTGGTGCTGGCCAACACATTCTGCTCCAGTTTCCTGTTGTGCAGGCTTGTCTTACCTTTCTGTTTTTTGGCTATTTTTATTTTTTTTTTAGCTATAGAAGCAGACTGTCAGGACCACGTATTGTCCGCCGCCTCAGCCTGTTTCACATTCTCTCTCTCTCGCTCTCTTTCCCAGAGGTTTATTTGTTGAAAATGGCTGACAGAAAGAGTCTCATTCCATCCAAACATACAATGCTCCTCATGCCTTCCCCTCACCTCTCAGCTTCCTTGGGCCTGCATTAATAGGGACACAGCAGCTGCCTTGCACAAAGGTACGTGTTCTGCTGCTGCTGCTGTCAGAGATGGAAGACAGGATTTTTTTTTTTTTCTTATTTTTTTTCTTTGCATCTTTTGACTCTCACACCTGACAGTATCTTGAGCACTGATCAAAATGAAAGAGCGACCTGTTTACACATATTGAAAGGCATGTTCGACTCCCGCTTAAAGCTTCGGGACGTACAGGTTTGATCGCACCTGAAAGTCATGTCAAATAGAATATCACAGGGGGAGAAATATCGAAGGGTGTCAAATTGAAATGTCAGGCACTTACATACAGTCTTTCATCGAAGCCTGAATGACAACCAAATGAACACTAAAGGGTCAAAAGAACTAT